TATATATATAATGTATATTGCCATTGTTGTTTCCATAATATATATTATATTGCTCATTTAAATCAAAACTCTTCTGCATTATGGCGACAGGTGATAAGGCGGAATCAGAAAGTGACCCTGCTGGCGTTAGCGATATGATTGCGCTTACCAATGCATCCAAGGGAATTTCTACCCAGAAAAATCACCCTGGTGACCTTTCTTTGAAGGATTGGTTATATAATTTCCAAGTTTATTGTGATCGTTATTCTTTGAATGCAGATGAACAATATACTGCACTTATTAGTCATTTGGCTGGCAATGCAAAGATGAGGTTCAATGTCGTATGCTCATGTCCACAAATAATATGGGTGTCACTGAAGCCCTTAAGATATTGAAACTTGCTTTTCAGTCAGATGAATCGGCCGCAGCATTTAGTTATTCATTTTATTCTAGACAGCAATTGGATAGTGTAACATTAGCTGAATATAGTTTAAAATTGATCACGCTTTATTCTCAGCTTATTAAAGCGTCTGGAACTGAAGAGAAGACTGCACTGAAGCAACTCCAAAACACCACTCTGAAGCAGAGGTTTGTTGAAGGTGTACGGGATCCAGTTGAACGTGAGCTTCGTCGTATTAAATTGGCGAGTAAACAAATGAAATGAGGGAAGAGGTCCTTGAATTGTTCAAAGGGGAGAAACCCAAAGTTAAACCCCGTGTAGGAAGCTGGATATAGTGAACCAACAGAGGTATCTGAGCTGAAACAACTAAAGAATGGAATGCAAGATTTTAAACGATCTGTCTTGAACTCTCGACGAGATGCTCGAGTTTTGAAGTGTTACAATTGTGGTAAGGAAGGCCATGGTAATGGTAAGTGCAAAATGCCATCTGGATTATGCTGGTCGTGTATTATCAATCTGGTCATTATTCTCATGCTTGTCCTAATAAGGTTAATATCGGTAATTCTCATAGTAATCATAATTTTAATGCTTCAGGTGGTTCATCTTCTTCATCTCGTCTTTCTAATGTTAAATCTAATGCAGGACGCGATAGTCAAGTTGAAGCATCACATTGTCATTCTACCATTGATGTTTTCAGCGCTGTGAGATCTCACAAATGTTGATTTGGCAGCTAAGACGGTTGACAAAAGTCCTTCAGCTAGGATGTGTATTGGATACTGGTGCTGAAGCTTCGATAATTCCATCATCAGCATATAATCAGTTGAAGTCGCGCTTTGGTGAACTGGGAACAGTACCGGTAAGTGGTTTGTTCATGAATGTGGTCAGTGTGTGTGGTCTGGAAGTCCCCATTGAAGGCTATAGGCCTATTGAGATTCCAATAACCATTATGAATAAGAATTTAAATGGAGGATTTTTAGTTGTCTCTGATCATGCAGTATGCAGACATGATAATGATTATCCAATGTTGTTGCAATATTTTACGTGAATTTCCTAGTTTTGCTAATTTACAGGATTTAGGAAGATCACTTGACAGAGAAACTCCACCTGCCATCTGTAGATCTGAAGTCATCTTGCAGATAGACGAAGAAGAATCTAATATACTCGTGTCATTGAAGCATTCTGGTGTCATTTCCCCCTGTAGTACCACAGAATTGAAAGCCGATTTACCGTCGATTGGAAGTGTTAATGCTGGTGGTACAACTGATTAAGTGAGTGGTTTTATTTCGGACAGGGGCAGTGATACTTTCCAATTACTCTTACCCACTTAGATTTTGCTAAACAGAAAGTTGCTGGTTTATTACATTAACACTCTCATGTTTTCTCTACAGGTGCATTTGATGTAGGCAGATTTGATGTGGCCCTGTCATTAGGTTACCTTATCGTTGTATTAATCCTTCAATTGCCGACGTTGAGACAATGTTACAAGAAATGTTAGATCAAGGTCATCCGTGCATCATAAAGCAGTTTTGCTAGCCCCATTGTGCTAGTCAAAAAGAAAGATGGCTCTCTACGATTTTGTGTAGATTAGCGTAAGCTAAATGATCATGGGGACGACTCGATCCTAATCAATTCCAGTGCAATCCCCGAACCATAACATTAATCATGTCTTTCTGCTTCTCATATTTGCATCTGATTCTATTTATATTTCAAGGTTTTCTTTGATTAGAATATATTTTAGTATGAAAATAGATTATATTAGATTATACACTATAACAATGCATTGCAATACACTTAATTTTTACCAGGCTTACTATTTTGTTAATATGAGTTGTAAAAAAACCACGTAATCATGACTGCGGGTAATTGCTAAATAAAAGATAAATTTTCTCATAATGTTTTTGAGAGTAGCTTATACTAATACTCTTTGATTAATGTTAAATTTATGCTAACGATTTAAAAATATATAAAATCATAAGTTTAATACAGGATTCTCATAATCTTCAAAGTGATCTTGATCGGTTGTGTGTTTGGTCGCAAAAATGGGGACTAGATTTGAATCCAAGTAAATGTAAAATTTTAAGCATTACTCTCAAGAAAATACCTATTATTTTTTACTATTCTATTAACAATAATAATTATAATAATATCAATAACAATAGTAATGATAACGATAATGAAAATAATAATAATGATGTTGATAATAATGATAATCCTGAGTTGTAATACTAACAATAATAATGATAATAATATCACTCAAAAAGATCTGGGAGTTTATATTGACTCTAAACTTAATTTTTCCATTAATGTTAACGAAACATTAAAAATTAAAGGCTAATTGAATGTTAGGACTCATGTGGAGAAACTGTAAAGATCTTCATTCTGAAACAAAAGTTTCACTTTATCAAACATTAATTAGATCTGCTCTTGATTTTGGCTCAGTTATTTATAATAATAATCGCATTGAAAAAATTCATTATCGTTTTTTTGCGTTTTGCTTTATATAATCAGACTGAGATAGTCAATCTCAGAAATTGTTTATCTCCTAAGGTATGTAGACCTTATATTGATCTAAAGTTTCTTTATAATGCTGTACATTGTAATTTTGATTACATGTTTCTTTATTAATGTGCCATCTCGTAGAAATAAACCTATATTTTATGTTCCTTTGGGGGGGGGGGGGGGGGGTAAATGCCATTAAAAATGGGTTGTTTTGTAGGTTAAGTAAATTATATAACTCGCTTTTAGTTCAAGATAATAGCCTTGATATATTTTCTTATTCCTTCAATCAGTTAAAGAATGAGGTTTTAGGTTTACTTTGTCTTTATACATTTTAGGCCTTTTTATGATTTGTTTTCGTTTGTATTTCCTGTTTCATGTGAACCCTCCTGTTATTGGCGAATTTTATTTGCTGTTGGTTGTGGTTTTTAAATAAAATAAAAATATAAAAATTTCCCTTTTTTTGGTTCCAATGCTGTAAAGCAATAGGAACCTTTGAAATGGCCTGGATGTTCGTCTGCACGTCTCTGACGCTGATGTCATCAAATTTGTGAAAAGATTGTAAACAAGCAAGGTTTCGTGAGAGTAAGTTCAAAGTTGTCATACTCCTGTTGGTTTAACATACATACGTACATTTGGCACCTCACAGTTTATATCTTGTGACATATTTTGTATGTTCCTTCTTTCGGTAGTGACAGTTTCGCCTAGGAAGAGAGCCTAGCCAAGAACCTCTGCAGATTTTATAAACGATTTTATCTAATATTTGGTTGTTGGTTTCCAAACAACCGATCCATATCCTAAGATTAGTCTAAGTGGTGTAACATTATCTTTAGAAAATCTGCCAAAACAGCTTTTCCTCTGGTTAGCTTTTAAAAACATCAAACTGCATTACCAGATGACTTAAAACCTCCATCAAAAGAAGTCCACGTTGTTTGACATAAATATGTATTGCCCCCTGAAAGTGACAAAAATCATAAAAAATATTGAAATTAACTTGCTAGTTTTGCATTAACATGTAAGTTATTAAATTTAGCATAGAAATTATTGAATTTTAAAGTACCCCGACTTTCATACTTGATATAAACTAAACCCAAAGGAAATAAGCTGGAATGATATTTACTGGTTTTTTGTTTTTTTTTTGTTTTTGTTTTTTTTGGGGGGGGGGGGGGGGTTTATCCACGGAAGACTTCCGTACGTTTTAACTCGTGTGTTTCTATTGTAATGTTTATTTGTGATCAGTGCTTCCGAATAAAATCAAATCAAATCACAACTTTAGGAACTCTATTCAGTAAAGTGGTCATACCATGTCCCACCATATTAAGGTACTAAAAAACAAAGTATTACAGGAAAATTGATTTTTATTGCGGTAAAATAATCTTTAACACATTTCTGATTGAAATTTAGAAAATAATTAACATATGGGTTATTTTCAACAAAATCCTGCCAAAAAATACATGTCCCAATTTCATTTCTCCAAATTTCCAAATCCCATAATTTGTAAAGTAAATTGCAAGAATAATTATACCACCAAAAGAATGTCTAGTGTCTTTTAAATGTTAAAAGAATTTAAAAAAAAACCAGAAGAGGACCTTTATTTCACAACATCTCCATCAGTGGCATTCGTCAAATTTTATCTATCTGAAATTACATCAACTTTATTGTTTTTGTGTCATTTTATCAGCTGTTCCTCATTCTCCTCCTCTTTCCTGTTCTTATTTTGTTTTTTTTCTTCTCTTGCTCCTCATCTTAGCCTGTTTTCTTTTGGTCCCTTCAATTAATTTATTCTGCTGCTATTAAATGTGCTTATTTTCATCTTTTAGTTTTGTATTCTTTACTTTATGTATCATCCTAGCCTGGTCTCATTCCATTCCTCTTTAAATTTTAAATCATGTATAATGCATACAGTGTTTGTTTGTTTGCAGAGGACAGACATATCTCTACTGCAAGATATATGTATCAAAGAAACAATGGCACTGTAAGTATCAAGTGAAATATACTCAAGTTACCTTATGAAATTTTAACTTATTAATTTGATCTGATTCTTTATTAAAATTTTCTTTTTGGCAGATGCAGCAAACAGAGCATAACCAATTTGCAAGACAAGAAAAGTACACTGAAATCTAGTTGGAACATTTTCAAGAGTCAAAAGAGTAATTCCTATGAAAGAACACAAACAATTATTGTATATTTACAAGTTACTGGAACAAGACAACTTGCATCATTCTGAAATATTGATTATATTGTACAGAAGATATGTTCGAATTATGTTAACCTAAGGAAGAGTAATATAATTAATTTTTCTAATATAGGCTGTGTAAAGCATTTTACTTTTAGTTAATTGATTATGCCTAATAGTTTGCAAGACAATTAAAATATACTGGAGTCTAAATATCTTGCTGAATACCGAGACAGCTTAATCATGGTTTATATATCGAAGGAATTTAAAAATTATTTTATTTTTAATGAGAAGTTATTGCAGCATTAAATCATTGTAAAATATTGAACCAAGGGAAACAATTTCCAATACTTAATTTTTCATATATTTTATGTATATATATATAAATATATATTATGATATTGGTTGTAAAGTTTCTATAATAAAAAATATAAGTAATGTGTTGATGTGTTTCTTTGCTGGTCGTGTCTTAAGACTGGATAAGCAGGTAAGACGAAAGAAGCGCCCTCTAATAGAAAAAGGACTAAATTTTCCCTCAATTTGTATTAAAGTGGTGCTGAAGAGTGCCCTCTAATAGAAAAACAAAATTTCCAGGGTCTCTAAATTTCTGTTTAAAGGGGTTTCCTGTGGTGCTGGAAAGCGCCCTCTATAGCCATTTTGTTTCTACATTTTTCAGGGTCTCAAATTGTCAACATCTATTAAAATAATAAAATGCGCCCTCTAACAGCCATTTTTTCAGTGCTCAATTGTGGAGTTCTGAAAAACATGGATCTTAGAGGGAGCTTTTTACCATTGACAATTAAGAGACCCTAAAGAACTTAGGTGAAAAAGGCTATTTGAGGGCGCTTTTCTTCACTATTTTTACCAGAACTCCACAGACTAAAGTGGCCAAAAAACTTAGTCATATTTTGGGCCTTTTTCTATTCGAGGGCGTTTTTTTTTTTTTTTCCCAAACCATCCTGCTCATTCAATAATCGAGAAGAAAAAACAATATTCAATAGTATACTGAATACAATTAATATTTATTTATTCAATATTACAATAACTTCAATACTAAACTCATACAATTAATATTTATTTATTCAAAATGTATTACAATGAATATATATTTGGTTTAAACGCCATAATCGTACAACTATCTTGAAAGACCATCCAAGATTGTCGATCAGAGAATAAACTAAGAAAGCAGGATGAGGCCACTGGTTTTCTGAGATCTTCGTAGTTTTCACTGAAATAATATAGTACAAATGTTGTTACAGAGGGACAATAAAACATCAATGAAAAGGAATAGAGCAATTACGTCAATTTCAAAAAGATTTTGGTAATTATTGTTTTAAGCTGCATAAAATCAAGCAATTTGTTATTAACAAATACAGATTAAATATAAGTTCCCATTAGTAGAGATAACATTAATATCGCATCTGTATAAATTACCTATTAATTACATTAGATAATTAAGTCAATACCAACTAAACTGATTTAAAACCCCATATAAACTAGTAGTAGTAGTAGTAATTTACATTAAAAAAATATATATCCTATTTATCTGAGCTGGTACGATGTTAAATAGTATGCATTTATGTAAGTTACAATTAATTATTAATCATTTATTATTAAACACACGTGGCAAAGACGAGCCAAACCAGTCACTCGTCGCAAAAATTGATTTTGAGTTATTAATAGTGTTAAAGAGTTACAAGCGTTTAAACATAAGCCTTCAAAGTTTATGACTTCAGACAGAAACTATCATAAAATCTTTAAAAAGTGTTGTTTTAACATTGAAAATGGGGGAAATAACAGCAAAGAATGATGTATAGATATATAAATGTTCTGTCAATTATATTAATCTCCAATTAAAACCTAATTTATTTTAAAATAATTGAATTAGGGAATATGACAGTTTTTGTGTTGTAATATTGAAATTAAATGTTTATTTTTAGTACTGAACCAGGTCAAACGTTATCCCATAAAGCATTTTAAAATGGACATGAAATTCATAATAAGAACAAGTCTTTTGACTCACCATTCAGCAAAATTAACGAGCACAAAACAAGCAAGCAACATTAGCCACTGGTTTGCTGATATCTTCAGAAGTGCATTTTGCAATGGTTAGACTTCTACAGAATTTTTACTGAAATAAAATACATACATTTCATTAAAAAACCAGAATTAGAAGGAATGCAACATTAATATTTAAATATTATTAATTTAATTAAAACATTAAATTGTAATTCTAGAATTATAATTGCAAGCCAATAAAAACACTATTTTATTACCATTATTATTACTTCTTAAATTTCAAAATTAGGTCAAATAATGAAATTTTAATGTTATTCATCAATGTAATTACTTAAAGAACAAGAATTATGTAATAAATATATTTTATATTATTAAATATTTATTTAAACATAATAAAGGTATAGCAAGCCCATACCAAGGACTTTTTTCTTGCCCATATTCCCGACTGTAAAATAAGACCTGCGTGGTGGAATAAATTGAACCTGGAAATTTGCCCACACACTTTGGAAAGTAAATTCTGTTTTCTGCTAAATTTTTGTTAAAAATTATATAAGGGCCCAAGTGTATTATGGTGATTATGCACCTACTATACTATCGATTTTCTATGCATACTTGAGCTGGTTTCTCCATTAGGCGAGACATTTTTTATTCCTTGTTTCGCGTACTTTTTTGAAAGATCACCGGAGGAGGGTGGAATAAAAATTAAAGTTTGTTTTATTATTTAGCAAATAGTTTTGCTAAAAACATCCAGATGGAGCAGAAAATATTTTACTGGTGAATGTCCATGCCATACACCTTCATAATTTTAAATCACTGAGGGCAGTATTAGTATCTCTAAATTCAACTTCATCTGTTTTAACTGATTTGTGTAGGAATATATACTAGGATACACCAAAAAAAAATGTTAAGGGGGTGGGGAAAATTTTTCATGAGAGGTCAAAGGTCATTTATACTGTGGCCTAAAATATTAAGACATGTATCATGTATCGCAGGAACACTATCGTTGATCTTGTGTCAAAATGCACAGAATTATCAAATAAATGACCTTGAAAAATGAGGTCAAAATGTCAAAAATTGTTGTTTTACTCACTAAAAATGGCTTATCATGTTTCAAAAGAAATGATCATTTCAACTGACAAATGTAGAAATACATACTAGAGTACAGGAAAACAAATTTGGAATGGAGCAGAAGATGGGTGGGGAACGGTGGGAAAATTACTTTTTTGGGGTTAAAGGTGACTGACCCAACCTAAAATACAAAAGTATGGGAGTAATAGGCCTGTCAAGCCAAAATTGGTCCACCAGTTCGATTTTAGCCGCTAAAATCAGCCCCCTCTGGGATAAAATTACAGTACTGTATTGCCTACACCAAGCCAAATCTGTCTCAGCAATCGCTTTGACACCACCCTCCCATACCCACCCCGGGCCTTCGGTTCTCAGATAATGCTGCATGCTATAGTTACACCCTTAAATACTTCGACCCCCCCCCCCCCCCCCCCCCCCCCCCCCCTCACCCCCCCCCCCACCACCCCCCCATAAATTATATCCTAGAGCCGGCCCTGGCTGTATACTCAATTGCACACACAATGAATGAAAAAAATATTATATAATATAAGAGATGAGATATTTACTAAATATAATTATAATTACTAAATAAATGCTGTACTGGTTTTGGCTTTAAATGTGGACTACATTTGGAGAGTAATTTTAAAGCCAAAATCCTTTTGGCCCTCCACCAAATTTTTCTTGACAGACCTACAGTACAAAAATCTAGAAAAATATGTAAAAGAACCCTCATATTCTCCACCTCAAAAAATGAGGTCAAAATGTTCAAAATTGTTATCACTAAAATGGCATATATTATTTTTGTTAAACTCATCTTTTCAAAGTATAGATAAGAGTATTGATTAGAAATATACAGTTAAACCTTACGTATGGTATGGGACCGGAGGGCGTACGTAAATCGGGGGATTCGTAAAATAGAGGTTGGGTTAAATTTGTGGTAACCTTTGACCTAATATGTACATAACACTCATTAAACATATGTATGAACGAACAATTTTACCTAGGCTAGACCTAGCCTCTAGGCCTACGAATAAAAAGATTTGTTTAGTATTTTTCACTTTACGATGTCATAATAAAGTGTTCAAATAAAACCATGTGTCTAGTGTATTAATTCATCACTTTATATTTAATTAACTAAAGAACATGAAAATATTGTAAGATTACCTATACGACAAAGGTACATGTATAACTTGGGAATTCCCCTTCATACCTATTCTAAACAACAGAGCTGTAGTGTTGTCTGGGCCTGTTGAGACAAACTAAAACCATGTGCGCTGCACTGGGCGAGTCAACCAATTAGCGTTCGTGTACGTGAGACAGCAACCATGTGCAATGCACTGGGTGAGCCAACCAATTAGCGTTCGTGTACAAAACTATGTCTACCCAGCTTCGTGTAAAAAAATTCGACCAGACGAGATTTTCCATGGTTTGCCACACGAAGCTAAGCAGGAAAGCAATTATTTTGAGCACCATCGGTAGTTGTTCATCTCACTCAGTTCACATGGTTTTTAGATTACAACAACCCGGTATTAGGCTCAATCAACGTTGCTATTTAATGAAAATACGTTGCATTATGGTCTTTTTACTTATGGTTGCTCTGAAAAGGGCTGTTTGTTTTGAATATTTTTTTTTTTTTTTTTGATGACGTCATCGTCGATACGAGGCGTACGTAAAACCAAGGGTTTGTATAACTGGGGTACGTAAAAACGAGGTTCTAATATAAATCACAGCTTTTAAACTTGTATCGATAAAACAATTAATACAGCTATACTATCAGTCATTACTATAAGAAAAACTGGAAAACTGGAAATTCTAATTTGAATTGCTTAATTTGTATATTTAAGCAAGTTTTAGCATCAAATTAAAAATTTGAATGAGAAAAAAAAAGAAGAATCCCCTCAATTTTTGGAAAGTTACAGGGACATAGCTAGGATTTTCAAAGGGAGGAGCCGTCTTGCGAGGTACGAATTCAAAAGAGAGGTGGCCCAGGGAGAGATTTTTACAGATACAGGGTCACCCCACTTTAGGGTAAAGCCATATAAAAATAATCGAAAAATGTTATTTTTTGCATTATCGTTCATTAACAGACGTTTTTGAGGATTTCTATTAGAGCATAGGTCACAAACTTATGATATACAGTAGTAGAAAAATAAGTATATTATTCAAAACATTACAACAATAAATACCAAAGTGTCGAACTGCAGGCAACTCCACAATGTCCCCACGGGGAACAGTACTTGTTCAATAGTATATCATGAGGCCGCACCGCATTCAATGCAAGTTCAACGGCATGATCTCTTTGACGCCGCCTGTACGTGACATCGCAATTTTCAGTGAAGTGTCTGTTAATTGTTTTTTTTATGAACGGTGATTGATTAAACAACATTTAATTATTGAATTTACAAGAATATCGCCTGGGTATAAAAAAAAAAAAATGGTAAAGGCTAAACCATTGCCTACCGTGTGAAAGTTTTACTGACAACTCACGGTAATTAATCGTTAAAGAAGAAATTATACCACGATTGAAAATTGACGGTTCTAAACAGCCCTGTAATATTTATCCATGTTGTGTTATCTTCAAGCAATGCTCAAGTTTTCCTTAAAAGGTAGCTGTATTTTTTGTATTGAACGAATTTCATGTAGGGGCCTACTTTTCTCTGTTCTATGTTTTTGGCATGCCACCCACAAGCTTTTGTTTTTTTAGTTTTTGCCCTCTTCATTTTTTAAATTGTCTTTTAAATAACCTTATGTGCTATATACTATCAAAGAAGAAAATACTGTAAACGTATATACTTTAATTGAATTTAATTGAACGAAGACACCGCAGTACGATGATCAGTTATATACTTTGAAAGTAAGCGTATTTTGTTTTTAATATGACGAGCTACAGTAGTTTCTTTATCTAAATTTTAACCCCGTAGTCAACCAAATATACACGTCTGATTCGGAGGCTATGGCATTAAACTCTAGGGAGAACCTGTAGGTCTAGAAAGTACTGTACCGCCTAGAAAATTGAGTAACCAGCTGCGAACAAATAAGAAACATACTGTAGGCACAGGATAGACCTGATTTTTAGGCATGTACAGTAACATCGACTAGGTCGATGTACCCTCAAGGTTTACTACAGTATCTCTATTTTGGAGATAGTTGTAATATTAAAGCATCTTTAGCAGTCCTGATTTTAGCTTATGATCGCGAAATACGATAATTAACAAGCTAAGTTGGGTCAGTTCACTCTACTAAAATGAAAATTATCGTTGGATTTTGGTAAAAATAATAGTTATGAATTAAGGACGAGGGAAGTGAGAAAAGAAAATGATATTAAACCCCAGTGACTCGTTGCTCTGCACATTGCATCCATCAATACCCATATTGTTCATTGGATCGTGGCCCTATTTTCTCTCCTAAAAACATATAGGAGAGTGACTTTTGAGGAGAGCAACCGTTCCTACGAATTACTGTACATAAGCCTACGTGATGGACTGCATTCGGAATACAGCATTATTCCTATAATTTTAAAAACTATTTTTACACAACTAATGATTACCACTTCAAAGTATTATAATTATAAACAGCAGCAGCAACAATAACAACAGCAACGACAACAAACAACATAAACAACAACAATAATAACTTCTCATTATTATTATTATTATTATTATTATTAACCAAGATGGGAGGCCTTTTTACGGGAAGGGAACTGGTGTGTTCCAGTTTTTATCCACATTAACACATAGTGTACGCATCTTTGTATTATAACAGACTCATACGCCGTACGTATTAGTTTTGATGAATTGTTTCCATTTCTTCATATTTAAAGTATACATATATTGTTTGCATTAATAGATTAAATATTTAGATTTGCTCTTTTTTTGTTTCCTGTATTGTTTTTATGCAATAAAGTGATTTTATATATATACCATGTCAAATGTTAAAATTGGTTCCTTATTCTGGGCTGAGGATGTGGTATTGATAGGGGATGATGAACAGGATCTAAATAAATTGTTGGAGGCAGTAAATGATTTTTCGAGAATGTGGGAACTATCT